TGAGTTATCGTTGACCGTAGCCAAATGTTGACGGAAGGACGGACAGACGGACGTACGACGGACGACAACCCATGACAATAGCTCAGCTTGACGATGTCAAGGTGAGCTAAAAACAAGTGTTTTAAAACCCACCTTTAAAAAACCTTCTTTTTTTTTCGAGGTTTGTGTCTAAACACGACGAAATTTGTCGAGGAATGTCTTAGTCGCCATGGTGCACTAGTTGCATCATTTTTTCTTTGTTTGATCAACCTTTAGGCCTTTATTATTATTAATTATTATATTGATTATCCTGCCTTTAGGAAAACCTGCCTTTGCATGGACAGTGATTAGAAATTCTAGACTTAGAAAGCTTACATTCTGTCTCAACTCTGTGTGGCAGATTTCTATAAGCTCAAATAACTGTTGTGAATTGAATTAGTGTGGATAAAAGTTACTCCTGGTGCTGCTTCTGCTGCTGCTGCTGCTACTGCTGCTGCTGTTGCTTCTGCTGCTGCTACTGCTACTGCTGCTGTTGCTGCTGCAGAGCTCTCCAAGAAAGAGTCGTATGTTGACATTAGTCTGGCAGTCTAATACTTGCTTGCTTAATTACTACCAATGCTGCTTCTGCTGCTGCTACCACTATTGCTGCTGTTGTTATGCCGCTGCTCCCGTTGCTGCTGCTGCTGTCCTGGAGGTGGCGGTGCTGCTGCTACTGCTGATGGTGTTGATGGTGGTAGTGGTGGTGGTGGGGGTGGGGGTAGACGTGTAACAATACACTAGGGTCATGATACGATACATATATTATCCTGATACGTAGGTCCCGATACTATACGTATTGTGATACACAGACAGAAAGAGAAGTATAGTAAATTTCATGCTATAATAAATATGTCATATCATGTACGAATTAATAATGTTTTTTGTTATTAATATTTATTTGTAAATTTATAATTAAAAGGATACAATACAAAAGAAATTTATATTATGATTATCATATCATGGGCCGCTGTATCGTAATTCACCGATGTATCGGGGAATCATTACACCCCTAGTAGGCATGGGTGGGGGTGGGGGTAGAGATGCTACCGGTGTGAAAATACTGACCAGGGGCGCGTTTCCGAAGCTCCGTCGCTATATTCTCCGCTATCTCCTCCGCTTAAACTCCAATTGTCCACTAAATAGTGGAGGACGCGTTTACGGAACCTTCTGTTCGCTTAAGTCGCTCGCGTTTTTACCGCCCCTTTAAGCGAAAACTTTAGCGGGAGCTCCTGCACTGTCGCCGCTAAATTTAGCGAGCGCTCTATGTGTATATAAACCATAAAAATACAAAATTCGCACTAAACTAACCATGAATAAGACTTTTGTAATAAAAAATAGTCCTTAGCTGTTGTGATCGTGGCGTGTTATTGGGAAAAAGAATTTTGTTTAAACCTCCACGGAGTTATGACAATGGTTGTGGTTAATCTGAGTTTACCATGCATCTAATGAGAGACATGCCCACCGATTTACGTAGTCCTACCGTGTAGCGAGTATTATGATTAGTACATTCTTAAAACGAAGAAAACCGAGTTCCGAGCATCGTGACACCACGAGCCTCCAGTATATTTGCACGTACCCCCGAAAAACAATGTCATTACAATGCGTAAGACTAACGCTCCATTATGAGTGTTTCCCATTGTCGATGCACTAACTGCGAGCACGCGTGTGTAGGCGAGATATGCGTGATACAACATACAACAGAGTATTTCAATGTAAAACTGTAACTTGTAAGAGTTTTGTTATGTTATCTCTGCGGTGTATGTGTGGTGTGTGGTGTGTGGTGTGTGCATGTGTGTCGTGTGTGTGTGTGTGTGTGTGTGTGTGTGTGGTGTGTGTTGTCGTGTGTGCGTGCGTGCTCGTGCGTGTGTGGGTGCGCACGCGTTCTGTGTGTACGTGTGTGTGTGTGTGTGTGTGTGTTGCGTGGTGTGCGCCGTGTGCACGTATAACGTGCGTGCATGTGCGCATGCGTGTGATGCGTGCATGCGGTGGTGAACGTAAGTGGCGGCACCACGCACAAACACATGCATACACACACATGCCACACTATCATAGGCATACACACACCACACACACATACACACACACACATGTACACACAGCACGCACTTGCACGCAGCGCACGCACGCCACCGCGACCCACGCCCAGCCCACCCCCGGCCCACGCACACGCACAGCACACCCACAGACCACACACACACACACACACACACACACACACACACACACACACACAAACACAAAGAAAGAGAGACAGACACACAGACACACACACACGCACACGCACACGCACACTCACACACTGACTCTCTGCAATAGCGTTAGTTCTAGAGCTATCTCTGTCACAGCGCTGTTGCTTATGTATATGATAGGACGTAACCTAGCAACTGCAACGCATGTTTGCAGTTATCTGCCAGCTGCCAGCGGAGGCATAGCGGAGCGTTCGTGAAACAGGAGTTGTCCGTTCGCTAAGTTCTCCGTTATACCTCCGTTCGCTAATGAACGAACAAACAACTTAGCGGAGAACTTTAGCGGACGTTAGTGAAACGCGCCCCAGATTTGCCTATCCTAGCCAGAGGAGGCTGTGAGTCTAACATCAACATACGACTGTTTTTGGAGCTGGTTTATCCATGCTCAACATTAATAGTCATTATATTAAGATGTCGTGACAGGTAGGGCCTATACAAATTTGCTTTAGTAGTTTACTACTGAAACATGATTTACTATGTACTACTACTAGTAGTAGATAAGATACGCAGCTCTGACAAACAGGCCAGTTGTAGTATTATCTTATCAGGCGTGTATAATATAGAGATATCATAATTTATACACTCCTGATCTCATAATACGATAAGACCCAGTCATGCAGTGACCGAGTCTGAGTCACTACGAAAGTTGCATTTCTTCCATCTTCCTCCTGCGATCAGACCCTTACAGTATTACTAACTTTACAAGTCAAACTAGAGTCTAGCAACGTTTTAAACAGTTGTTCTACGTACCATGTATCACGGAATTGTTTCGCAGATCCTTACGAAATAACGTGGGCCGGCCGGCTCACATGTATGCTGTTTACATTTTACTTTTTCAAATTAGGAACTAAAATCACGATTATGGCACGCGCCCGCCACCTCTCGGACATATTGAGAAATAATTGTCGCGCGCTGAAATGCTACCAGTGTCAACAACTGAGCACATGCACACATGAGCAACTCTTTGGGGATGAATTTTTATTTATCTCTCAATTAAATAATTATTGCCCATTTTTTTAAACTGTGGCATGCCTTAGCTACGAATTCTGGCATGCACACTAATTATCCTTCTCGCAAACTCAATATTGACGAGTTACGCCTCTGCGCTCAAATATCTGAACACGAGTAAATGAACAAATTCTCAAGATGACTCTCTCCCTAGCTGGACCTCTGAAGTGGTTATGAAAAACACTCCCGTTTCCCAATACTCTGGCACGGGGAGCGATATATATATATATATATATATATAGCAGAGCCGTCACGCAGGTGACTGACTAATTGTTGAAAGCCCAGTCACGAATGGCTGTGCGAAAAGCATGTAAAAGGGGGGCGAGAGTGGTGAAGGTTTCTCCTGGTGGGTCGGGAAACCCCAGAATTTTTTTTAAATGCTACATGGAATTATATACGCTGGCGAGTTTGAAAATGAAATTTTAACATTTGAAACATCAGTATAAGGTAGTTGCAACTATTTAAGTTTAATAAGTTATTAAAAAATAAAAATCCGGAATGATGTTTGAAGCCCGAGCTTCCAGGCCTCTCGCTTGGCGACGCTGCCTGTATATATTATATATATATATATATATACTATATATATAAATATATATATAAATATATATCGCGTATTATACGTGTTTCCGAGATAGATTAAACACGAACTTAGATACTTGCAGTCGACATAAGTGCGATGTCTATTCTTCGGCGCCAAGGTAGATACGATACGTAATCGATACACACGGAAAAAAATATCTAACGTTTCACCAAGTTTATTCACGACTCATAAATAAGTAACGATCAACAGTATTGGAGTAAGTTATGGTCGCTAAGGATGGCACTAACTACTGATTTCTGATCTGCACCGTCGGCACGTATAATCGACACACTACGTTGCCGCAAATATTGGTCCGAAGTGAATGTGCATATCTATGAGTTATGCGTATAGGTCGCCAATGATTATGAAATAATCGAATACTACTTACATATAAAGGTTGTAGCTACGGAAGGCGATTTCGGTAAATGTTGATTTACAATCCGTAGTGTCGGCGACGTCCTAGACGGGTAGAGCCCTCCTGCGCGTGTTCGCGACAGATGGCTGTGTACCTGAGCGGTTGTTTCGCAGCGCGGTTTTGCTGCCGAAAACAATGCGGGTGGCCATGACTCGGTTCCTGCGCTTGGAGGTGGCACGGTAAGTGATGAATGCGTAAGCCATTGCTTTCTCGAAAATGCCCCTGGCCAACTACGGCACGTATCTCTGCCGACCCGCCTCTCAGCCGCTAACCGAGCGGGCGACTTTTTCCGAGATGCGGGACTCGGTGATGGCGAGCCGGGACCAGTCTCGTTCACGGTGTTGGCCTATGGGCGAGACGCTGTTATCGCCTGCTTGCAATCCGGCAATAGCCTCCTCCACCGGGTGCGCTCGTTCAGGCAGGGTAGTCTTTCGCTCCCGCATCAGGGGGGTAGCCACCACGTAACTGGCTACGAGTACCACGTAGTTGTCGAGCTTTCTCTTGCGCTACCATACGTCGGTATTCCGCCACCGTGGCTGTAGTAGTAGTAGTCGCCTTCACCGTGGCTCTGGGAATAGTTCTACTCGGCGCTGTGTGTGACTATTAGGGGGGCCACCGTACGCTCTAAAAACCGAGGGTTGAGGCCGTAGCATCTTAACGCAACGCTGGACGGGGATAGCCTTTGGCATTTTCGCTCATGGGTAGACCATCCCTCTTCTTCTTCGTCCGTAGATTATGTGAATAGCCATCGCCGTTCTGTCATGGGATCCTCTTTATAACCGTAGGCCACTGTGCGCTTTGTCGTTGTTGCCATGGTAATCATCCTTACCATAGCCACCGCGAAAGTCTTTGTCGTTGTTGCCATGGTAATCATCCTTACCATAGCCACTGTAAAAGTCTTTGTTGTTGTCGCCATGGTAATCATCATTACCATAGCTATTGTGATTGCCATTGCCCTTGTTATCGTTGCTGCTCCTGTAATGTGCGTCATGGCCGTCATGGTAGCCGTTGTCATCGTGACCGCCACCGCCACCGTATCCTTTACCGTCGGGTTGGTACTCGTAACCGTGCTTCGATTCACTGTCGCTGCTGCCGCCGCTGCTATGGTAGCCGTCGCCATGCCGTCCTCCGTCTTTGCTCGATGACGAATGGAGGCTCGGTCTGCGTGCATCTGGTTGCAAGTAAAGACTGCGTGATATTCACGAATATTCTCCAATCTAACAGAAGTGAATATGTAACTAAAAATCACATTCTACGTGTGTAAAAATAAATACATTTCGAACCCGTGATTCCGTGTTTATTGTACACATCCTCAACTATATAAACAGATTGTGTCAACTAGACATTGTATCAGGTAAATAAATAGATGTACAACATATAAAATAAGGACATAAAATAGAAATAATACAAATCAAATAAAGACGTTGTGTTGCAAGGACAAATAAGATGCTTGGCAGATTAAGATGGCGACCAAATGTCATCATCGTACGTTTTTTACGTACATAACTTTTCATGATACTTGGTTCTACAGCGCCGCTAATCATGACTTAATCCCTATGCTAACAGCGTGTCGTTAACGGTCATTTTGAACAATGGGGGTTTGTATTTTGCATCACACCGTCTCACCAGAACACATTCGCCCTTATTTAACATAATTAAAAGTTAATCGTTATTGGAACAAGGTGACGTATCGTATATAGTTGTCGAAACGACATGCCTCCCGACTTAAAGCCGCACTATGCGCATCTACACGCTAATTTCTCCAGTACTAGAATAGCAAATACTTCGTGTCATGCAGAATCACCCTACCAATTATGACAAAATAAACTCTAGTTCCTCCCATTTCACTGCGCGTTGTCTTATAAAAGGCATTTGAAAATACCGCCAATGTTGTTCAAATTCTCCGATGTTGTTGACAGTTTCGCGTTGCTCTCCCAAGCAACCGTGTAGCGGTGCTGCGGTACAGCGGTACGGGTGTAGCAAAGATAAAAACATGTGACGTCACCTAACCGCTTCGAGGCTAAATTGTTTGGCAAACAAGTCGGCGTTACCGCCAGATTACCAGATTTCGCACCTCTTTCTTGTGGGTTTTAAGCAAACGCGCAGTGAAATGGGAAGCACTACAGTTTATTTTGCCATAAGGTAGTGTGATTATGCATGACACGAAGTATTTGCTAGTCTAGTACTGGATAAATTAGCGTTTGGATGCGCATAGTGCGGCTTTAATTAAATCTATGATAGTTACAGCAATTATTCGGATAACGCTGTAACCCCTACTATTCATGTTATTCGTTCTATTAACCCTTTGCGTTTAACAGGACCTGGCGAACGAACGCTGCGCAAATATTGACATTAATCGTTTTTTTCCCAATGAATCATTACCGAGCGAGTACGGGTCGGCATTTATTGTGTTTTTATCATTATTATTCTAACGCCTGACAACTGATGCATTTTTGGCTCGTTTCCAACCAAACGTAGTTTGTCTTAATTTGCAATGTGGTAAAACCTGGACGCACGAGGTGAGGGAATCATAGCTAATCGTAGCGTGGCACATGAAAGCGTCGCGTGTCGGCGGATGTCGGCTGCGCATCCGGGTACTTCTCCCCGTGTGACGTCAGCCACGACGCATGCGCCAACTCGCTCGCCGGAATTCCATCCCCGGCGTACAGGCGCGCCTCCAGGGCGTCTGCGTGCGCGTGCGCGTGCGCATGCGCACCACCCCGCTTTCCCTCGGCAGTAGGCGACGCCTTCTTGAATGCGCGTATGTACTTCTCTATGTTAACCTGATTCTCTCTCCGCCCGTCTCTAAGCGCGCCCGCCCGCGCCGGGTAATGTGGCGCCCCCTGGCCTCGGCTCAAACTGCTGGAGTCCCGGATGTTATCCTGCATCGCCTTCTTGACTTTATCAAAAGCTGTAATACCTTCTGCCTTGTATCCGAGTCTCCGCGAGACGACGTTATCTAGATAATCCGGATCCAGCAATCTGCCGTAGTCCGTCCCGCTGTCGTCATGGTAACGCTCTTTAGATACGCCGACGTGAGATTTGACTCGCCCCTTCTTTCTCGGCGCGGATTTCTTGCGGTAGCCGCCCACAGCCGGTCCTGCGCCGCTGTAAGGCTTGTACAACATGTACCCCATCTCTTCCTTGTCCATCGGCCCGTCTCTAGGACCATCGTAGCGGCCTCCCTGCATGCCGTCGTGGTTCTGCAGGTAGGGTGTTCCGTAAGGCATGACGGGATCGTACGTGCCCTTCATGACGTATTTGAAGGCGTAGGCGTGGTCGCAGTAGTCGGAATAGCATTCGGCGCTTCCATCCACCGTTACGACGCCCAGAAACTACAACGAGATTGGCGATTGCACAAGGTAAATAAGTGTCTCATATAATATTAAAACAGTCATAAAATAATAATAATAATAAATATATATATCGCGTATTAAACGTTTTCCGAGATAGATAACACTAACTAGAACTTCAGTCGACATGAAGCGATGTGATTTCTTCGGCGCCAAGTGTAGATAATACGTAATATACACACGGAAAACAAATATCTAACGTTTCACCAAGTTTATTCACGACTATAAATAAGTTGACACGATCAAAGTATTGGAGTAAGTTATGGTCGCTAGATGGCACTAACTACTGATTTCTGATTGCAGCCGTCGGCACGTATAATCGTATCACACTACACGTTGCCGCGAAATGGTCCGAAGTGAATGTCATATCTATGAGTTATGCGTATAGGCCCATTATTAGTGAAAGTAAATCGAATACTACTTAATATAAAGGTTGTAGCTACGGAGGCGATTTCGGTAAATGTTGATTTACAATCCGGTAGATGTCGCCACGTCCTACGACGGGTAGAGGCCCTCTGCGTGTCGCGGACAGATGGCTGTGTACGCTGAGCGGTTGCTGCAGCCGGTTGCTGCCGAAAACATGCGGGTGGCCATGACTCGGTTCCTCGTTGGAGGTGGCACGAAGTGATGATGCGTAAGCCATTGCTTTCTCGAAAATGCTCCTGCCAACTACAGGCACGTGATCTCGCCGACCCCCTCCACCGTAACCGGGCGGGCGACCTTTTTCGATGGCGGGACTCGGTGATGGCGAGCCGGGACCTCTCGCGTTCACGTGTTTGCCTATGCGGACGTTTATCGCTGCTTGCAATCCGGCATAGCCTCCTCCACCGGAGTGCGCTCGTTCAGCAGGGTAGTCTTTCCTCCCGCCATGGTAGCCACCACCGTAACTGCTACCGTGACCGTGGTTGTCGTAGCTTTCATCTTTGCCGTAGCCATCGTCGTATCCGCCACCGGGGCTGTCGTAGTAGTCGCCTTCACCGTGGCTGCTGGGAAAGTTCTCTTCGCGGCTGTGGTGACTATTACGGCCACCGTATCCTCTACCGAGGTTGAGGCCGTAGTCATCTTTACGCAAGCTGACGGGGAAGCCTTTGGCATTTTCGTCATGGTAGACCTCCTCTTCTTCTTCTCCGTAGATATTGTGATAGCCATAGGAGAAACAGAGAAGAGATAAACGGCAGATTGGGCTGGAATCCGGATTTATCTAGATAACGTCGGTCTCGCGAGACGCGATAGCAAGGCAGAACAGGTATTGACAGCTTTTGATAAAGTCAAAAAGGCGACTGCACGGATAAGCATCCCGGACCCAAGCAGTATTGAAGGCCGGAGGCCGAGGGGGCGCCACATTACCGCGCGCCGGGGCGGGCGCGCTTAGAGAGACGCGGAGAGAGAATCAGGTTCAACATAGAGGAAGTACATACGCGCATTCGAAGAAAGGCAGTCGCGCTAGCGTGACGCGGAGGGAACAGCGGGGTGGTGCGCCATGTGCGCACTGGCGCGACAGCGCGTACGCAGGACGGTCCCTGGAGGGGGAGCGCGGCGCTGGTACGCCCGGGGAATGGAATGTCGGCGGGCGAGCGAGGTTGAGTCGCAGTAAGCGTCGTGGCACCGACGTCAGCACAGGGGAGAAAGTAGCGCGAGGCGGCATGGCGCATCGGGAACATCGCGCCGACCGATCGCGACGGCTTTCATGTGCGCGACGGCTAGCGATATAGCTATGATTCCCTCACCGTGCGTGGCGTCCAGGGTTTCTACCAATCTGCAATTAAGCAAACTACGTTGGTTGGAAACGAGCCCAAAAATGGCATGGACAGTTGTCAAGCGTTAGGAATAATAATTAGATAAAAAACAATAAATGGCGCGACCGCGTACTCGGCCTCGTAATCGATGTCATTGGGAAAAAACGATTAAATGGTCAATATTGCGCAGCGTTCGATGTCAGCAGGCCAGGGTCCCTGGTTAAACTCGGTGAGCAAAGGGCTTAAGTAGACACGAATAATCATGAAATAGCGTAGAGAGGTTGACAGGTGTATCGCGAATAATTGGCTGATAAACATATCAATAGATTTAATTAATAGCCGCACCTATGCGCATCCAAGACGCTTAAATATTAATACCAAGTATAGAGCTAAGGTGCAAAAATACTTACGTGTGCATGCATCAATCAGCAGGCGCTAACCTTATGGCAAAATAAACTGTAGTGCTTCCATATCAGCAGCTGCGACCGGGCGATTTGCTAACACCCACAAGAAAGAGGTGCGAAATCTGGTAAATCTGGCGGTACGGCGCCGACTTGTAATTGCCAAACATTTAAGGCCTCGATAGCGGTAGGTGACGTCAGCATGTATTTTTATCTTGCTACAGGGCCGCCCGACAGACAGTCGCCGATACCGGCTGAGGCGCGGCAGCACGCCGCTACCCAATCAGGTTCCTTGGGAGAGCAACAGCGAAACTGTCACAACCAATCGGAGAATTTGACAACCATATGGCGGTATTTTCAAATGCCTTTTATAAGACAACAGCGCAGTGAAATGGGAGGAACTAGAAGTCTTATTTTGTCATAAATTGGTAAGGGGTGAAGTTACTGCATCGACGACAAAGTTATATTGGCTATTACTAGTAACTAGAGAAATTAGCGCGTGAGTAGATGGCGCATCAGTGGCGGCTTATGTAAGCTCGGGAAGGCATGTCCGTTTCGACAACTATATACGAATACGCTCACCTTAGTTCGCAATAATCGATTAACTTTTAATTATGTTAAAATAACGGGCGAATGTGTTCGGATGAGCAGCGAGTGTGAATGGCAAAATACAAACCCGCCCATTGTTGCAAAAAAGACCGTTATACGACATCGCTGATTAGCAGTAGGATAAGTGCATGATTAAGCAGCGCAGGGCCTGTAGAACCAGAGTATCATGAAAAGTTATACCGTACGGATAAGATGGACGATATTGGTACGCGGCCATATCGTTATATCTGGCCAAGCATGGGCTTATTTGTCGCTGCAGAGCCACAACTCTTTATTTGATTTGTATTCATTTCTCATTTTATGTCCTTATTTATATATGTTGTACATGGCTATTTATTTACTCTGATACAATGTCTGATTACCACAACATCTGTTTATATAAGATTGAGGATGATGTACAATAAACACGGAATGCACGGGTGTCGAAATGTATTTGATATTTTACACACGTAGAATGTGAATTTTTAGTTACAGTATGTCAGCATATCTGTTAGATTGGAGAAAGTATTCGGTGAATATCACGGCAGTCTTTACTTGCAAGCCAGAATGCAACGCAGCACCGAGCCGTGCCATATCGTCGCATCGAGCAAAGACGGAGGACGGCATGGCGACGGCTACGCAATAGGCAGCGGCGGCAGCAGCGACAGTGAATCGAAGCAGCGGTTTACGAAGATAGCCGAAGCCCGGACGTAAAGATAACGGGTGGCGGTGGCGGTGCACGATGACAAACGGCTACATGACGGCCATGAAGCGGCACAATTACAGGAGCACAAGATAACAAGGGCAACTGGAGAATAGCACAATAGCTATGGTTAATGAATGATTACGCATGGCGACAACACAAAAGACTTTTAAGCAGTGGCTAATGGTAAGGATGAATTACCATGGCAACACGACAAAGACTTTACGCGCTGGCTATGGTAAGGATGAATTACCGATGGCATACAACCGAACAATAGGCTTTTCAACAGTGGCTAACGGTAAAGATGGTCAGCACATGACAGTAACGG